GACGGCTAAAGGTTTGGCAAACAAGATTGAAAACCTCCAGACGGAACGTAAGGGTGCTGTGAATAAAATTAAAAATCTTTTCCACAAAAGTAAAATTACTATTGAAAATGAAAAGAAATGTTCCTCATGCCCAGCTGCTGTTTAAAAGTTTGGTTGAGTTGTGTGAATGTGCAACATCGTCACATAACTCATTGATTTCTTAACTCCCAGAGGAGGAGAAGAATAAACAAAGTAAATGGTTTGCAAGCATAATGGAATAAGGTAATACATTTAAAGGAAATGTTCAATGATGGCTGGATGAACGTGATGAGCTGCTGCAGAATGGAAACCCTGAGGAGCCGATTGCTTCTGGTACTAATGCAGAAATAAATGAAGCACCAAAGATTGACGTGACCTAAGAAAATACTAAAGATCTGCAAAATAATATAAACCCAAGGAAAAGTATGTCAAACATGAAAAGCAGAGCAGCTGCCTAAGAAATAAAATCATCTGCTTCGTCAACATCTTCTGCTCGTCTGAAAGCTGAAGCTGATTTGGCAGCTTTAATGGTAAGACAAAACTTGCTAAAGGAACGACACCAATTGGAAGAAGAGGAACAAAGATTAAAGAAACGGAAAGAACAACCAAACCTGGAAGAGGAGATTGCAGCTCAAATGGCTAAACTGAGTGTACTAAAGTGGAAATAAAACCAAGACAAAGGAGACTTCAGAAGGAATGAACTCTTATCTAGGAAAAGGAACAGTCAAAGCATCTTCTCTCATCTGATGCAAAAGCCTTTGTTCCAGAAGTGGCAATGCCGCTGCAAGACATGGAAATGAAATGTGATCAAGATACAAGGCCCAAAGAACCTTTACAAATCTCAACATTCACAGGGTGTGCCTACATCTAAAAAACATGATGTGCCGTTATTTCCATTTTGTGATCATGACAGAACACAACATCAACATGACAGCATTCAAAATATTAATTACAGCTCTGCAGTGGTGTCAAAAGTACACACAATTGTTACTTTAGAAGTATAGATACTGCAGTTTAAAAACACTCTGGTAAAAGTTGAAGTATCAACTTGACCTCTTTACTCAAGTGAAAAAGTATGTGCAGTTAGGACCCCCTGAATCAGAATCGGAAATACTTTAATAATCCCAGAGGGAAATTCCTTTTGTTACACGCTCCAGATACAGCTATATATATATATATATATATATATATA